GGGTTCATTGAGATAAATATTTTAAAGTCTTCAAAGACTTTTAGTTTGAGGCCTATATCATAAAGGTCTTTTGATAATAATTATGAGTGCGAAACAATTTTGTATATGGTCCCGAACGGGTCCAAACCAAGTACCAAACTACTCCCCCACTAGTCCTGAACTGTTTCTCTCCTAGCCCCCACTAAACCTCAAATGCTCCTGAACAAGTCGTCTTTTAAGACTTAAAAAATTTTTTCGTGCTCATAATTATTATGAAAAAACTTTTACAATATAAGTCTTAAAATAAAAGTCTTTGAAGACTTAAAAATATTTATCTCTCTGATAATTATTATGTAAAGACTTTTACAATATAAGTCTTAAAATAAAAGTCTTTGAAGACTAAAAAATATTTACCTTTCTGATAATTATTATGAAAGGACTTTTATAATAAATGTCCTTGAATAATAACTATAGATGACTCGAAAATATTTATCTCAATAAAATGATTATTGAATGACTTTTATTATTTTCTCTTATGTCTCTATGTTGAAGGGCTACCAATGCCAAGCGCAATATTAGTGTTTAGTACATACACTTAAAATAATTGAAATTAAAGACAAATGGCCTCACAATTTTACTAGATTTTTTTATTTAAGAAATACAAAACTACACCCATCTGCCTAAATATACGAATTGATAATCGCTTTAGTTCAAACGGAACAATTTAAGAATCACTTACTGCCAATCAAGATTGATGGCCCGGCACCATTCACACGCCAGAGAAAACTACTTTCTCATTTCTATGTGCAGCATGACTAGCATCAGCATCAGCACAGTGCATCGTTCATGTTCTAAAAGCATTAATCGAGCAATTTCATGATTAAAGGCAATTCGATGACTCGACAATTTTTTCAATTAATACGAAGTTTCTCCAAATTTCATATTCGAGCATTAAGTTCGAGAAGATGCAGTTTCACAAAATACTATCTATGAATTGCTTTTTACTATTTTCGAATCATGTTTTATTGTTCTTAATCTGAGCTTGAACTCGAAATGTGGACAAGAAAAAACTCAGACTGATAACAGGGCTATTTGTGTTTACTTAAGCCACTAAATGGTAAAAGTGGCATCGCAGGAGCAGTTGCTTTAATATGCCAATAAGAACAAAGTTTTTGGGTCACCAGAAAATGTGATGAAAATGAAAAGCAGCATAGTCAGCAGAAAACACGAATAATTTGATTCATTACAAGAAATTGAATTGAGTTGAAGACATACATAATTTCACAATATGATTAGGAAGAAGAATAAAATGAAAGAGTATAAACCACAAAAATTATGGAGCAATGGTTGTGGTAATAATAAAAATTACAACAATAACACGCGATCTAACTAAAGCGGCTGCTTTGACGTGCTTGCTTCAATGTGATTGTTACAAGTAAAAAGTTAAAATTCGGTTTAAGCAACAAAATATCGGTCAGTGGAACTCAACAGTAGCAACAACAATATCAACTATATATTTTATGCACCTAAATATACGTGGTTGAATAAAGCAAATGTAAACCAAAAAAAATAAAAAATCAAAACAAACAACAAATTAAATTGAACCACAACAATGAGCACATCGAACGCCGCAAAGTGAGCAGCAGCAGCAGCAGCAGCGGCAGTGACAGTGGCAGAAACTGATTTTCTAGTGGCTGTCTCGCTTGATACGCCTTTTATTGAGAATTGACCACAAGACACTGGATTACCGCTGCATAGGCTGGGATGCGCTTTCACACGTGCGTGTGTGTGTGTGTGTGCGCGTGCGCGTACTTCAGTCACTGCTGCAAGTTCAAGTTGTTGCTTTGTTGTTTTAGCCAACGCATCGCAGAACCGATTGCATTCTCATCACCTATCATTGCTGAGAAAGCTTGAAAATTGCGCTCGCTATGCGTTGGCCGGCGCAATGGTTATTATCATGCATGAATAATTGATAGCAACGGCGACAACATATGTACTCGTACATAGGCAACATAACGATGAGAATCATCATCCTCATCAATGTTGGTCAATTGCATTGTTGTTGTTGTTGTTGTTGTTGTAGTTGGTCCAGCGCCACTTTTACTCATTCGAATGTGGCGGCAGGCACGCTATAATTGCTCACGACCAGAGTTTCAGTTTCAGTTTTCATGGAAAAGGCTTAATGAAGACTGGCACATACATACATACATACATACATACATACATACATACATACAAACATTTAAGCGTACTTTCTTCTTTTTACAGGTAATATTTTTTTTGTTACTTTTTCCCGCAATATAAAATGCGCCTTTGACATTTGAGTAATTTTATATCTCCTTTTTTTCAGTGCTGATCGCGTCAGGCCCGGGCTTAAGCAGCCGCTTTACCATTCTCATAGCGCAATTACCACTTCCAAATAAACATAAAAAATGATTGTAAACAATATTACTGTGTTAATAGTGAATCTTAGAAACATACAGACGGCTGCTTGCCGTACAATCATAAACACATTAAATGACTATTTCATAAACATAAGCTCACGAAGCTCAGAAGGCAGTAAGCACGAGTAGTGAAAACGCTATAATTTCAAGTGAAATTTACCATTGTGAGTTTCTTTAGAAAACATCGCAGCTATTAGGAAATCAACTGCAGCATGTGTACATATGTAAATACATTCATACATAAGTAGTACATAATGCCGAAAATTACATTTGATATTAAAACAAAAAAAAAAGTAAATGCGCCTGGGCCACACTGTAGAAGTGAAACTTACGTTACTTATCTTTCTATACATACACACATCTGCTTTTGCTTAAGGTTATATTTTTTCGCTTTTTTTTCTATCAATGTAGATGCCTACCACTGTTCGTTTTAATAACATTCATGTTATTCTGTTTTTCCATTATCTTCATTTTTATCCTCATACTCTATCGATATAACGTCCATCAAAATATCGACAACAAAATCGATTAGAAAATCAATAAAAATATCGATAACAAAATCGATAAATATCGATAACAAAATCGTTAAATATCGATAACAAAATCGATAAATATCGATAACAAAATCGATAAATATCGATAACAAAATCGATTTATATCGATACCAAAACCGATAAATATCGATAGCAAAATCGATAAATATCGATAACAAAATCGATAAATATCGCTAACAAAGTCGATAAATTACGATAACAAAATCGATAAATAGCGATAACTAAATCGATAAATATCAATATTCAAAAACGATTTATTTCGAAAATATTTTTGAAGAATGTTGCCATACGCTAAAAAAAATTAAAAACAATTTAAGGATGTTCAATGAAATACTTTTCCGTGAGTATCAAATGAGAATAGTTAAAGAAAGCGTTATTTAGAAATATGTTTGAAGAGGGTTGCCAGCTGTTTAGGTATTCCATATCAATTGAACTAACAATTTAGGTTCAAGAATGCTTTATTTAGAAAAGGGTTACCACCAGTACACATTTCACGTTCAATTTGTTGAGTAGTTTAATTAAACGTTAGATACAATACAAGAGAAGTCAAATAACGATTTTTTTTTTTCAAAATATCCCTCTGTTACGTGTTTTAAAAGTAAAATTTAAATTTGTAAATGTTTTTGTTATTTATTTAGTTGATGTAAAATTCACTTTTTCTGTTTTTATATCTCACACATTATTTCAGGTAACTTTAATTATAAGTTGGTTGGCCATTTGGGGTTGGGATTTAACTAAACTTAGTTAGTTGCAATATTAAATCGAGGTATCTTACATATGAGGCCTTGAAGGCCAAAGTAGCCTAACTGACATTAAATAAAAGATGAGCTGCACCTTAAAACGCATTAATAGAATCTAAACATCAGCATCATGTAGGTGGAATGAACTTTTGGTAATTTATGTATTTTTTGTAGGTCCTTCTTTCTCATATTACTAAAGATTTTTTTGTTGTAAATAGGCTCTTTTGGTCCTCATGGCCTCATATTTAGTTACACCAAATCAGTTCGAAAGCAGAATTGACACATTTTCAAAAATTTATATAAATCAGTTTTTCCGTTTGTGTAAAATAAATTACAACAATTTGGCATTGATATGAAACTTAAATTATAGGTATGGGTCATTCCATGCAAAATTCACACCTCCATATCTTATGTGTAATATTTTTTCGGTTTTTCATTAGAGTATGAGAAAGATTTAAATAAATAATTTTTTACATTTACATTTTTATTATAACCATGTTAACCCTGATTTTCAAGAATTCTATACCATTTCTATGAAAATTTCTTTTTCCTAATACAAAATACATACATGGATAATTTTGAGCGCTTTAAGTGGCTTCTAAATATTTTTCGATTTCAAAAAAAGGGGTATAATACTTTTCGGTATAGAACAATCCTGTGGGTTAAGAGCTTTAAACTTCTGACTTTACTTTTTCACATCCATTTTTGGACCACCCTAGTGTACATACGAGTACTTATACTAAAAATAAATTTCTCTCAATTACTGAATATTAAAACTTCAAATTTCAATTGCCTTAAGTTTTTAGTTGCACTTAAAAGACAATAACACTAACATTTAGAATACTCTTCTGCCGATTGTGTGTGCGAGGGTAAGTTAAAAGAAAGCCAACCATAAAAATTTAACAATAAATACAAGTATTTATAAAATTAGCCGAAAAAACGTATCTTCTAATTGCGAAACGCATAAAAAATCCACACTTACCTGACTAACCAGTAGGTTAGCGAAAATTAGCAAGGCCGCAAGCAGCTGGCTCCTTGCTGCCGTCATCTGCTGCAGCGTGTGTGCTTGTGTGGTCATCGCGTTCGGCGCTTAAGTCTTTCCTTATTTTTATTGTTTCTTTTACGCTTTCGCTGCGCAGTTGACTCAACTATGAATTTTTTTCTTCTGCTGAATTGCACGCTTTCGTCCAACGGAATTTCTAGAATTAACGCTTTGTCAATTACACTTAACTTTAGCGCGGCACTTCACTAAAGTAACTTTGACTGTTGTTTTTTTGTTAAAAACTTTTAATATTATTTTTCTACACTATTTCACAGCAAGCGCTTCTTAGCCGCTACCACTTGCAATCACCGCTACTGTTTGATTATAATTGGCGACGCACTTCGAAAAATAATGTTGACTTAAAAATTAATTATACTGCGTTATTGTTATGTGCAAAAAGTAGGAAAAAAAAAAATATACGACTAACAAAATAAAAACACTTTTGCGTGCGTGCCTATGTGTTAGGTATGCGTTGTTTTTTTTAATTTTATTTATGAATTTGTGACTGTGATGTGATAATTTAACTGGTTTTTATGCGAGTCACATACCGGTCGTTATTAAATATTTTGCTCAGCTGCTATTTGTTGCATTTTTAATTTAAATTTTTCTTATTATTGCTTTGAGGCTTAATTACTTTTGTCTATAACATTGACAAGTGCGAGTTTTGCATAAACTATTGAGCATTGTACTTGTATGTAGATGCTTATTAATTTTCTAAAATGAATCTTTATAAATAGCGATACATATGGAAGTACACTGGAAAACGTATAATTGCATGAAAGTACATAGATTTGTGTGATCATTTTCAACTAGGCTATAGTGTCCTCAACAATTACCAGCACGTACAAAATTATAAGTAGCACTCTGATGATTGCGATTGTCGATTGCGTCTGTGGTTTTTTTTTCTAGTTTTCCTTTGTGGTTTTTGCGATTTGACGCCACTGATATTCTTGCCACAATTTTGAGGTATCACTTCCTAGAACTTGACAAACCCATATTTCACTCGAAGCGATAACTAGCATTTATAATGTGTTTCCTTATGCAATGGTAGGTATACATACCCAGTGGGAAGATGTAATGTATTGTAGGCGTTCTAATATTTTTCCCACGACGATTTTTTAAAAATGTGCGGCATTCAATTTTGCATTACCTAGTAAACGAGGAATATATGCTTTCTGGATACATTAGAATTCTGTTTATATATTAAACAGTAATAGATTCTAACAACCATAAGAAATGCACTACATTATTTATCACGTATGTAATGCACTGGGTAAGTACAAATAGCTGCAATTAAAATAAAAGCAGCAAAATTTAAAATGATGTTTTTGGCAACTTATGTTTCCTTATTTATTTTTATTTAAAAAAAGGGAATTAACGTGCAATATTCATGGTTTTAAATTCTCTAGTACCGAACCAGTTCGGCGCTAGTGCGTTTCCCCACAGGGATGGGTTGAGTCAATAGCATCTACATTTGTATATAATATGAATCTGTTCTTTATTTTTATACCCCTTTTGCAAAATGGCGAGCATTCGTGAGTGATGCGTCATTTTATTGAATTGTTTATACAATAAAAGCCTTTGTATGAGTGAGCTTCTTTTTATTTGTCATACCTGTACTATAGTGCATAAAGAATCTGTATGTGCATTTTTGTATGTACATATGTATTCACCTGCTTTTGATGTCTCTAAAACTGATACTGTATCGGCA